GGGGGGGGGGCGGAGGGGCGGAGGAAGAGAGTCAGCCCATTCATTTGCTTACATTTGCATTTTTTTAACTCGCAGGGTGGTTTGACAGCTCTGGAGCTCATCTAGCTTGAGAAATGACCTTATGGTTCTCATGCCCCCAGGGAGGTTGATGGCCAGAGGCTGGAAGTGTGCTGAGGCTGATGTTTTCCTTCCTCCCCCTCCCTCCTCTCCCTCCTCCTGCGCTCCCCCGCTCCCCTCCCCAAGCCAAGGGCGGGGGCCTCAAAATTAACAGGCTTAAAAATAGCATCTGATGGTGACAAATGTCACCAGTGCATGCACACACACGTGCAAAAGCTGAACGGTCTACATGGAGTTAAACAGAAAAATCCAATTTTATAATAGAAAATTACAGCATTGTTAAAATAAACCAGGGTGTGTGTGTGGGGGGAGAAAGGGTGGAGGGCACCTAAAATAAACGTATTCTGCAGATGACGTCTCGAAACGCTGCATTTATGGGCATGCTTAAAACTCATTCATTACTTTCTTGCCATGAAAAGCCCCATTTATGAAAAAAATGATCCTGGGAGATGCTATTCGGGTACAGGACGGCTTCCCCCTGTGCTGCCTGCGGGCATGTGGTGAGCTCTGCTGGCGTGTTTAGGCACCTGAGGCTGCAACTGGAGAAAAGGGGGACTGAGGGGAGCTCAGCTTTGTCTTTTTTTGGGTGAAAATCCGTCCGTTTTTGGGAAGGATGGTGCTTCGCCGGCTTGGGCTGGTGACCGCTGTACCAGCGCGATGGAGGTGTGTGGCAGAGGTAGGCAGATGCAGGCAGGAGTCTCAGCTGTGACGCTGAGGTCTAACCTCACTGCCTGTGTGAACGTGGGTGATACAACCCAGATACAAGCCAGGGACTGCAGCAATATTATAAACTGCAGCAATGTTATAAATTGCCTGCAACGCACGCTCCCTGGCTGACCCAAAGCTCTGCTGCTTAAAAACCCCTTCTACTTTTTATTTTTATTTTTTTGGTCCCTTTATTCTCACATATGCTTTTAACTTCAAGCCTCCTTCAGTATAATACAGCCTCTGAAAACCAGTAATATAAAATTGAAATATCAGAGCGGAGAAATGCTTATTTAGCATTATGATAAGTAAAAAATAGTATACTCAATAGATTATAGAGATATATGTATAGGAAATAGATAAATAGATAACCAATATTGCCTATATTTATTTTTAGGAGTGGAAATGGAGGACTGGCACAGCTCAGAGGAACCCTGGGAAAGATGTGCCAGCCCTGAGGTGGGACAGGATCCTGCCCCTGGGTCTCAGTATTGCTCAAATCCAGCAGCAGGAGACCTGTGACCTGTGAGGGCTCCTCATCAGCGCTTCCCTCTCCCATCTCCTTCCTCATCTCTGGCAACAACGCCCTGTGAAGAGGAGATAAAGCTGCTGGGAAGAGCCCAGGCTTGTGCAATGTGTGGCTCCTGGTTCAGGGCTATGGCAGGGCTGGGGAAAGTCCCCTTCCCATCCACTCCACCCGTGGGGACAACGCTCCACAATCTGAATCTTAGCTGGGAGGTGGCAATTTTGGCCTTTAATTGTATGCTGGCATGTAACATCATTACTATAACATGCACCATTTTTAATTAATTATTATTAATATTTAAATATGTCTATATATGTATATGTATATGCTTACATATTTGTATATTTTGTATTAATATTTTATATATGGATGTATATATTTATATATTTTCATATTTTGATATTCCTCTGCTTTTATATTTTTGTATTTGTGTAGACATTCTTGGAGCATTTCCTCTTAAATGTTCATTGCTTGGCTTTCTCTGTGCGATGATCTTCCCCACGGGAAGGTGCTGGCTTCTGACTACATTTCTTTTTGGTGTGTCTATATTCACCAGTACAGTGCCACCCCAAAGATACGGGGGTACCCTAGGGTAAGCTGGGGACCACAAAGCGGCTCCCCCCCTGCCATGCGGTGCTTGTTCTGCATTCAGCACAGCAGAAGAAGAAGCCTGGGGCTCCACCTGATCTCTGCCTGCTACTGGTGTCAAAACAACATTTTTCCAGCCAAAACAAAGGTGTCCTCACTTATTCCCTTCTCCCAGACTGTGCATGGAGCAGGGTTTGGGG